TCCTGTACTAGAACTTCGGGTTTGGTGTTTAGGAATTTACAATTTGAGATACAAGGTATATACATGAGGGTTTCCTTGTTTGGATTATTTCGCTCGACGTACCTATGCTCGTGTTGTAAATTTCTAAATACTAAAACCCTCTTTAGTAGGATCAATGATTTTAGATCCATTATATATATTATCTGTATTTTCTTATACAACGAGCCTTGTTCCCTTGGGGTTGGTTGTGATGTTGCTCGCTAGCGCTTTGACGCTCGTTGTCCCTCCCCCTTTCAGGTAACGAGCCAGGAGCCCGGAGAGTCGCAGGTTGATGGCGACACACTTTAGTGTTCAGCTGTCTATTTTAGCTATGTTTTATTTTGGAGATCCACTGTAGTTTTGTTCGACATTTGAGGACTATTCTCTAGATGTTGTAAAGGCTGTATGCCTTATTTCCTTTACTCAGATATTTATACTTGAGACTTGTTGAGTATTCCAGTTATCTATTCAAACATTGACTATGTATTTCTGTATGTTGGACGATGAGATATTAATGTGATCACTATAACTTCATCAGTTATTTCTTGTATTATCTTTTACTTGCTTTTGTACCTACACCTATTGTTGACTCCACTAGATAGATGTTAATTGTGATGGTGAAACATGTTATTGCACGGTGTGGTGCATGGCAGGTTTGACATTCTTGGTTTCACCTTGGACTGCAGCCTTGTGTGAACCCAGGGGCGTCACATCCTAGCTATGCCAAATTTTAACCTTACCTTTGTGATAGAATGTGATGCTTCAGGTTCAGGTGTTGGAGCTGTGTTGATGCAACATGAAAGACCTATAGCCTATTTCAGTTCTGCTCTCAAAGGGAGGAATGTTACCCTTTCTACCTATGAGAAAGAATTATTGGCAAACATTTTATCTACAAAAAATGGCAGCAATACCTATTAGGAAGGAGATTTGTGATCAGAACTGACCATCAAAGCCTTAAGTATTTGCTTGAACAGAGAATCCACACTAGTATACAAAATAAGTGGCTTGCCAAACTACATGGCTATGATTACAAGGTAGAGTATAAACCTGGGAGGTTAAATAGGGCTGAAGATGGGCTATCAAGAATTCATGAGGATGTGGGAGAGCTACAGGACCAGTTCATTGAAGCATCAACCATTTCTACTCTCAATAGTGATTGGTTGGAGGAAATCAGACACATGTGTTCTACAGACTCCTACTTTATAGAACTGGAGGCCAAGTTATCGCAAGGACAGTTAGAACCTGATACATACTGCAAGAAAGAAGGGTTGTATTATTATAAGGGTAAACTTTTGATAAGCCCTAATGCTCAGCATATAAAAGCCTCTTTACTCAAAGAACACCATGATAGTCCTATGGTAGGTCACTCTGGAATTACTAGAACATTGCTTAGACTGAGGAGGGTTTTCTATTGGAAAGGGCTAAAAAGAGATGTCCAGGTTTATGTACAAGCTTGTGATACTTGCCAAAGATCTAAAGGGGAGAATGTAGCATCCCCAGGGCTCCTACAACCTTTACCTATATCAGATTTTATTTGGGAGGATATATCCATGGATTTCATTACACATTTGCCTAAAAGTAGAAACAAATCTGCCATTTTTGTTGTGGTCGACAGATTATCCAAATATGCCCACTTTTTTGCACTATCTTATCCATACTCAGCTCAGACAGTGGCTCAGGTATTTTTTGAAGGAAATTTCAGGTTACATGGCATGCCAAAATCAATTGTGAGTGATAGAGACCCACTGTTCACTAGTCTATTTTGGAAAGAGTTGTTTAAATTGCAAGGAAGCCACATAAAATTCAGTTCAGCCTATCATCCTCAAACGGATGGACAAAATGAGATTACTAACAAGAATTTAGAGAGCTATTTGAGGTGTTTCTGTTGCCACAAACCCAGTGAGTGGAGTAAATGGTTAGCTCTTGCTGAGTTTTGGTACAATACCACTTGGAAAAGCTCCACACAGACTACCCCTTTTGAAGTGGTTTATGGTCGACATCCTCCCTCCTTACTTTCATATATTCCTAAAAGCTGTAGAGTTGAAGCAGTTAATGAAGTTCTGTTCTCTAGAGACTTAACTCTGCAACTCTTGAAGGATAGTTTGAACAGTGCGGCTGAACAAATGAAGAAGTTTGCTGATGCTCGCAGGAGGTATAGGAGCTTTGATGTGGGGGATTGGGTATTTCTCAAACTCCAACCTTATAGGCAAATCAGTGTTTCCTCTTATAAGCCTCATAAATTTTCTCCCAAGTACTATGGTCCATATCAAATATTGGAGAAGATAGGGGAGATTGCTTACAAACTTGCATTACCTGCACAAGCCCAAATTCATCCCGTCTTTCATGTTTCTCAGTTGAAGAAGAAGATAGGTCACGTCTTCGAATATCTCTCAGGTTGATTTCCTAACATATGTATCAGAGAGGGTGTATTTGATGAGCTGAAAAGATATTTAGACAAAAGATCTATTGTGAAAGGGAATCATTTGGTATCTCAGGTTCTCATTAAATGGAAACAACGTGATATGGTGGACTCTACTTGGGAATCTTATTGGGATCTAGTTAGACGTTTTCCTGCCTTTGACCTTGAGACAAGGTCAAAATTAAGGGGTGGGAATTTTTCAGGAGTAGAAGGACAGGAGCTGAAGTTGAAGATGGAAGCTGAAGCTGAAGATGCTATGTCGGAAGAATTGGAAACAGGTGACAAATTAGCCAAGGACTGATACTTAATTCCAAGGACTGATACACAAAAGAAACGCTAGAGAGAAGGGCTAATATGCAAAAACTACATTATAGAACCTTGTAATAAAGATGTGTGATTCAGTTAGACAGTTAATTCTGTTTTTATCTGTTATTTCTGTTTGTGCACGTGCAACGCACAAAACTGTTAAAATGAACTGTATCAGATTGATATAAAGGAGAGGTTGTAATAACAAAGAATTATGAATGAAGTAGATCCTTTTTCTTCCTCTCAACTCAATTGTGTTCTCTTATTCTCCTAATCTTCTTGTATCTTCTCTCATTGAGATTGTTTCAAATCCGCCATGGCTAGAAACAGCAGCTCGAGATTCAACAGAGGAACAAGGTCCTCTCAAGTGGTCACTTTGCCCACGAACCAATCGAACTTTTGTGTTTGATCGTAGAAAAGAACAAACACAGTATGAGATGAAGTCGGAAGAGAAATAGGAAATTTTAGTTTAACCCCAAAGTTTCTAGAATTTAATTTCTAGTCCAAATTAAAACGCATACAGAAAAATTAGTTTCTCGAAACATTATCTTCCAACGCTTCAGGATAGAAAAATTTACAATTAAGTCCAAATTTTGTTTAAGAACAAAGGATAGAAATAAAATTTTAGAGAAGACCTAGAAACCAGAGCATTATTTTTCATACCAAAA